ATTTATGCATAAAATTAGTGAATATACACTGAGAAAATGTTCAAAGGTTGGAAGGTGTGATGTTTGCACAAAATACAAATGTTGTGAATGCAGCCATGGTGAGGTTCCTATTGAAGTTAAAGCAATCAGAAGGAGAGATCATCCAAAAACATTAGAGTCCAATTAAAAACAGACAAGGAAACTGCAGCAGAAGGAATAGTAAGAATGAGATACTTTGTTCTTCCCATTTTAGCAACTTTTGTTTTCTTAGATTTAGTGAGTGACAAATTTGGATATAATTGATTAGAACCTCAGTGACTGGAAGTCTTAAAAAATAGTTAAAGAACATTTGTTGTTTCTGATAAGTAGTATACAATGTGTCCTAGATGTCTTGGTTATGCTGATGCCTGAGGCAATAGATGACTTTTTCCACTGACCTTTGTGTTCATGGATTTTCAGTCTCTGTTACAATATGGCATAATTTTCTTACCATTGCTGGAATAAGATTTGTTACTGGTCTCATTCTTACAGTGCAAATGAAGGTCTAAATTGAGTAATACTGAGCAAAAGTGGTCTTGCTTTAAGAACACTTTTCATCAACACCAAAACAATATCATGGCAGTTTCACTCCATTTTTTTGGAATCCTAAACTCATGCAAAGTTTTATATGAGAAATTGGTCTAATAGATTTTCTTTTATTCAAAACTGCCACCAGAACATGGCAGTTTTTGTACAATTGACTCATAATTTTAATGCTAAATGTTCAATAATTACTTCTAATTCATTATATTGATTTAGTAATTTGTGAAAGAAATGGGCAAGGAAAAATAACTGACTCGTGTAGGCATCAAAATAGTACAAATTATACATCTCTAGGGAACCACAGTAATTTCCTAATTAAATAAAATTTGTTATCGCTATTATTAGTTGTATGATACACGTGTGTGTGTATGTGTTCGAATATAATGCACACCCAATTTTGAAAGGTTAAATTGAAGAACATTTGTTTTTTTACACATCAGTTGTATAAGATGTATTGAATAGTTTTTAAATACAGTAAACAACTATTGATATACTAAATATTCTTAGAAATCTTTTATTAAATTTTTTTGTATCAGTTTTACAAAATTTATTGAAAAGTTTTTACATGGTAATACACTAAGCTAATCATTCATCTTCCCATAAAGTTTTGTCATTGCTAGAATTGTCACTACCATTGGATTTATTAGACTTGTTTCCTTGAATTTTCATCTTTTTCACAGCATGTCATCATTCATACCATCCATTGCATTGACTATGCAACATTTTTGAAACCTTTTAATTAATGATGCTTTAATGATTTTTAGTGATAGCTTCTAGTAAAATACCTAACAAAATTGAATGTGTGTGAATGTAATGTGCAGTCAGTGTTTTGGGAGGTATTTGGAGGAAAAAAGAGTGCATTATAATTGGGCGTATATGGTATTCTTTATTATAATATTTTTATTTATTTTTTTAATAGGTTCAAGTAATCCACAATCCAAGTTGTTTGCAACAGCTTTACCCTCAGCAACATATGCTTCTACCTGGAAATCTCACCTTCCAACAAGCTAGCATGGGTCCAACATTGCAGAACATTGGATCTGCACCAACTCTTAGCTTCCAGCTACAAAACAAAGGACCAATGGACCAAAAAGGAGTGGCTGTCACAGGTCCAACTCTCATTCCAGCAACACCAATACAGTCAGTTAACACAGTTGGGAAGGTTTGTGTTAGTTGATATTTTTACTTCTAAGTATCTTTCTTTGGTAAAAGGAAGAACAAAAACAATTGTACATTTTAATATTTCCTTAAAATCTTTAATTTTTAACATCTTCATAAATATTTCTTAATATTTTGGAAAAGTCTATGAATCTAAAAGAGAGAAGTTCCATTTCTTTTGTTGCTCCTAGTAGAATACGTAATTTTCTGTGGTAATTCTCAAAAAGTGCATGTGACAAGACTTTTTGAAATAAATTACAAGTTGGTTTATAACAGAGGTTCACTATAGAAAATAAAAATGATTTTGGAATCTCACCAGTTCATTACAGTTCATGTTGCCACATCTAGTCATGCTTTAATTGATAATTATGTATTTTGACAATAGTCCTGCAGAATAGTTACAATTGCAAAAGGCTTCATCATAAGGCTGTCTTGTCTAAAGCACACTACATCTTCCTGCGAGGTTTTCATAATCCATATAGTGTACATGTATGACAGTTTCTAAGTGTTTGTTTCAACAGGCTGATCACACACATAAATTTGTAGGTGCTGCATGTGGCAAGTTGAACACCTTTTTTTACTATTGAATAGCATTAACACCCATTACATTCTCCAACTGCTTGAGGTATGTGATGGTTAACCGAATGTTGTAACAGCAATTTCTGTACATGTGACTTGTGGTGCTTTTCCAGACAGAAATCCTTCTTGATTATGCTATTACCTGGGGCAATGGATCACTTTTCCACTGACCTTTGTGTTCTTGGATTTTCAATCTCATCTGTTAAAAGATGGCACAATTTTCTTACCGTTACTGGGGTACGATTTCTTGCTGGTATCTTTCTGAATGATCCTGGTGTGTCAACTTGATCTTTATTTCTTTGTTTTCCAAATAAACGAACTCAAACAGTGTGATGCTCTTTGTTTTATTTTAATATAATTTACAACAATTATCACTTGTCTTTAGTAGCAGTGCTTTTTTTTTTATCATCTTGTAATTAAGTTTTTTCTTTCGTAATATGACAAAGCTGTTACAATGGTAACTTAGTAAAAGCTAGAATTAATAACTGTTATAATTTTTCATCAGATCACGTGGTCTGTGGGTGTGAAACTTTTCGGTAAGCAATTGCTTACATAACTTAAACATAATAAATGTATTCCCTCATGAAATTTAGTCTCTTGGATTTCTCTAACAGCATATGTTTATTCTGACCCAAGTTTAGAACAACTTAAATCATTCAGCTTATGTAATGTAAGCCAAACTGATATACATGAAGGTCAAATTATATAACTAACTTCCAGATATAAAATTTACATTTTTTTTGATACCTATTTTCAAGTGCAGTGAATCTGTGGATTGATTCATCATTCAAACCTGTTATTTGTGGCACAGAATCTACAATTATCATTATTTTATTATTTCATTGGAAAATCAAATGAGAAATGAATCTTGTGTGGATGATCAACTCTATAAATCTTGAGGAAGCTAAAAGATCATTCAGTTTGGCAAAATGAATTAGTTATCATGTTTGAGAAGATGAATCATTTATTTACTAAAATAATTTTGCTTACTTTTTGTTATTAGTAACAAAATAATTGCCTTTCTTAATAGGCTTTTAATTGCTAAATAATTTATTTTTATCTCAAAAGTGTTAAGGTTGGAACAATATATGCTTTTTGTTTTGAAACATTTATTTTGGTTAGCAATCGGTAACACTATTAATACAACAATGCCAAATATTAAAATTTTCAAATGCTACACAATAGATTTCATTGTAGAATATCTTGTAATAGTGTGTTATAATAATAATAATCATTTATAAAACTTATTATGAGACTGGTCAGTTAAATTTACTGTTTATATAACTCACAGTAGAGTTTCACTTATTAAAAAAGTTTTTTGGGTAACACATTGTTTGTAAACCTTTTTGTTTACTTCTTGTTTAATGTGGGTTCTGAAATTTCTACTTCATGCATCCATAAGTTAAAAAGAAATGCAATTTAACTTGGGGTCATGAAACTATATTCATTTCCAAGCATCTGTTGATTAAGAAGGAAATAAACTTGCATCTGTTAATTTTCTTCAATTTCAGAATTGCAAATACAGTAGGTACATGTATATATACCCTTGTGGGAAATGGTAAAAATTATCTTGAAAAACAAAAATCAACATTCTCTATCAGTAGGTTATTATATGCTTCTACTGAATCAAACATGTTAGCTTAGAAATTGTGTAGGTTTGGACATTTAAAATTTGCAGGATTTTATGCTGCATTTTGGTCAATGATCTCTATCATTTTCCCTTCAGAAAAAAGTTTAACTTTTTGTATTTGCCTTAAAGCTTCTTAAAAATAACGCATTAAATTAGCAAGGGTACTTACGGAAAAGTGACCCTGTGATAATTTACAGTAGGATTACACAAATGACTACTATTTTGAGGAAACTAAGGGTGAGAAAAGTTGTTGGTGATCTTATACAGACAAATTTTAATTTTTCACCACCAGGTTATTTACAAATGGTTATAACGACTCACTGCCTTGTATGCTGTTGGTCATACATTTTGTACACTAGCTTCTATTTTTCACTTTTTCCCTTTGGAAGGTGGGACTGACATTGTTGATTTTATAATTTTTACTCAGGGAAGTGGGATTAGTACGGCCAACCTTGTGTCTGGAGGAGGGCAAGTTATCGCAACAGGTGGGAAAAGTTGTGTTGTAGGCCAGGTGATCTCAGCAAAGTCTACTGCTGTTATCCAGGGTCAGTCAGGTTTTGCCCCTTCCACCACAAGCCAACAGGCAGTGGTCATTGGTCAGTTAGGAGTGATTTCCAGCCAGCCATCCATTCTTCCTATACAGAATAAAACCATCGGTGATAGCTCAAGAGGAAAGCAACCTTTTGTGAGTTTTCAGATTGTCACTAAGATAGTGAATATCATTAAAGAATCTATTAACTTATTGTTCATTGTAACAACTTTTGGTAGAAGTGATGGCTCTACCAGTTTATCAAAAGTAGGAAGAGCTTGCATACATGCCAGAAAAAAATAAACATGCGCAATTAATTGTGTTTCACCTTAATCAAATATATTTAAAAAGCTGGTAGTAAATGATCCACTTTTTATCTACACAATTTGTAGAAACCTCAAGCAAGAATGTTATAAAAAAAATTTATAGACAAAACTATAAAACCTTCTGTATTGGAATAATATAATAAATCTGGTAATACGAAGAAGGTGAATGAACAATTATTCAATTCATATTCATATCAAACTAACTGGCAGGTAAGTATTATCAATGAAACTTTATAGAAGGTATATATAAAAATGTTGAGAAAAAGACTAAAATTATACACAGTTTAAAGCAACTTGTAAAATTCTTAAATCGTCACTGAATATAATGTTTAGATTAATTTGAAATATAAAAGTTGTACATGTGTGTGTGCTTCAAGTGTCTTCTTCTCAGCAGTATCCAAAGAATTTTAGATATACATATTGCTTACTGCTTTCAAAATGGTTTGACATGCAGTTTCTAGACCAGTAGAACAGTCATAAAACACCTGAAATTTTTTGGTGTTACAATGATGATCAGAAAAACAGTAGAAAATCAATAGCTTATGAAATGAAAGAATGAAATTATGGATTCACTAATTATATGAATTATGTCTGCTTGAAAGTAATGAAAATCTCAAATGTAAGTCAAAATTTCCTGATGATGGCAAAACAAAAAATTGAGCAACAAATTTTAATTTTGAAATAAATTTTACACTGCTTTGCCAAAAGTATTGAAGTACCTCTTGAACATAAGATATGGCCTACCATTATTCTTTGCAAGGAACTCTTATATATTTCAGATACTGTACATTACTTCTTTTCACATTTTTAGCTATTATTCAGTGTTGCCCTCTATACACAAAATGTTTTTCATATGCCACTATCCTTGAACTCGCATGTACCCTGCGATCAACGTGGTTCAACTGCATCTTGCATGTAAATCATAATGCAACAATCCTCCACCAATAAGAGTGAGACACACCCTCCTGATGCACCCTCCGTTTGATTCTCTTGAACTAACACATCTTGTTAAGTAGTGATTGAGTGCAAATGTTTTTCACTTCTGCTCATATCATGTGTGTGATAGATTTACTATCGTATATCTATTTTAATATCAATGTTTATTTAAGTTAAATTTATATTTAGAAATGCAGATAACTTGTACTGTTAAATCTGTATTGTGAAATTCCCGCCTTTTCACTAAGATTGTAGAAAATTCTCAAGTGTAAGAATCAACAATATATGTATGTATGTAAATACTGGTGTATTGTTTATATTGTGTAAGCTTAAATTTTGAGAAACTCTTATATTGTTGGTTTGCTATAGTTGGTATCCTATATATAAACTTCAGAAGCTATAACCAATTAACTTCAGCGGATTCACATGAGACATTAGTATTGTTATGAAAATTGTTATATAACTTCATCGGTGGACAACTCAGTATGTGGCTGACAAAGAGCACAGAGCTAGCTAGCTCCCTGTTAAGTGAATTCTATCTTCATCTACTCAAAATTAATTTGCTCATTGTGAACCCTAGATGAGATATCAAGGAAGTTCTAGACCAGATAGAGGACTAAATATTGTTTATAAGTTTATACAACTTTTATACATAGATCATTATTTGTAATAACTGTTATTGTAAATTGTGTTATTAAAAACTGTGTGTATCAATCTTGTTTGCAAGGGTCATAAATTGGATACATATCAACATTTATTTAATTTCTCAATCTAAATTATCATTTAACTCAGTTTCAGGTTATTCAAAATTATAATACGTTGCATTATAACTTGGAGATTCATCCGGGATAAATTGTAATACATAACATAATATATTGAGGGTTGCATCGTAGCTGAGAAAAAACATGTACGTATTGAAGCTGAAAGAGAAAATAAATGTCTCTAGGCCAAAAAGGCCCACATTGAAGCCTAAAAAGAAACTAAAAGAAATGGAAATTAGACTGAACTCCGATCGACCAAGGCAAAATGACAAATTTGAAATTAATTGATATGTTAAAGTACCACCATTCAACAAAAATGAAGTTGATAAATATTTCCAACATTTTAAGAAGGTTGCCCAAACCATGGGATAGCCACCGAAAAATGGTCATTATTATTACAAAGTGTCTTAACTGGTGAAGCACAAGAAGCTTATGCCACTCTTTCTTTAGAAGATCGTATGAATTATGATAAGGTTAAAGCAGCTATTCTCAAAGCATACGAGTTAGTACCGGAGACTTATTGCCAAAAATTACGAGGTTATTGCAAACAAGATAATCAAACTTGTATGGAATTTGCCCACGAAAAAGAGGTTTATTTTGATCGATGGTGTAATTCTATGCATATTGGCAATAGTTTCGACAAACTAAGTCAAAT